TTAATTTTTATAAAATAATTGTATTAAATTTGATTATGATAAATTAATTATAGTTATTTAATATGATTATACATATATGTTGACACACAATAAAATTGTAAAAATTTCAACATAGCAGTACTCCTTGCATGCTCTACCTATTTGATAGACAATGCACTTCTTGCTTGTTCTATCTATTTGTCAGTCAATCTATGAACACTAAATAAAAAAATTAAACAAGCAAAATCAAAAAAAAAAAACAAAAAACGTAGAAGTTACTGGTTATATATGTGTTTGTAGATTGTTTAGGGAAATCTTTTAGTAGTTAGGTTTAATGTTTAATAATTAATTTGTTATTAGTTAATAAGTTGTTATTAGTTAATAAGTTGTTATTAGTTAATAATTTGTTATTGTTAATAAATTTGAAATATCTAGAATTTAATGGTTAAATATTAAAATTAGATTGTTTGAAAATTGTTTAAAAACTTTTATAAATAATATATATACACAGTTGCACACGTTCATATACACATATATATACGAACACATACACATATATATGTATATACACATGCACACATATACACACATGAGTATATATATATATATATATATATATATATATATATATATATATATATATATATATATATATATATATATAATCCAGTACAACCTTTTGAAGTCCTGCTACCTTGTAAGATAAAGGTTTTTTTTAGCAAAGGCTATTTGACAAAATTTTGACAAAGCTTGCTGTTTAATGGTAAAATTGGGAGGAAGTGATTAAAAAATTTTAATAACTTAGTGTGGCGCAAAAAAAAATTGAACTGTTGGGATATTGATATGCCATAATTACATAGATACATAGAAAGCAGTGTAAGACTAATGTTCTAAAAAACTAACTAAAAAAGTTTTATGACATTAATCTGAAAATTGCCCCCCTCATCTTTTGATTTTCCACCATCTGTTGACCTACTTCCCATCCCTTCTCCATCTATAAGGCTGGCATAGGTGTATTTATAATATATTGTTTTTAGTTTAGGATGTTAAATGCTGGATCTTCTGGACTCATTGCATAGGTTTTGCTTGTGTATTTATTTTTAAGACTAAGTAACTCATTATATTATCTCCAAATGATGGTACAGCTCTAAAATTCAGTTTTATTGTTCTGATGCCAACTGGTAGTCAGGTTTTCTGAATTCGAAAAGAGAGAAACTTGAAAAAAATATTCGAAAGAGAGGCTGATTCCATCAACAGCTATAATATGTCGTAGTACTAGTAGTGCCATATTGCATAAGGATAGTGGCACTGCTCATAATTTTGATGTACCTTGTCTTGGCCACATTTAGAGCTCTTTGTTATGGGTTTGGGTTTATTATAGTAATGAGGCAATTTCTTGGACTATTAGATAGTGTTTTGAGTACTATCTGTGCTTTGAGTCAAGTTCTTTAACAAATCCAAAAATGACTAAAGTATTATAAACTATAAAACACAAAAAACCATCATCATCACTAAGTTCTCTAAATCTATCATTCACTAATATTCATGGTCTTTTTTTCTGCTATGTCATATCTCTTGCAAAGTTACTTGCTCTTTGTGAAACTAATTTGAGTTTAGCTGTCTTATCTTGTGATTTTAGTGTTTATAGTTATCCTCCTTTAATTCCTAAAGATTCCAATAGTCACATGCTTCGCCTGAGCATTTACAGTTGTAAGTGTTCCTCCTTTTGTCCAAAACTAAGTTTGAATTCACAGACTATTCTTTTTCTGATTTTGTTTACCACCATTTCACTTTATCCATTTACCTTTCTCTTTGTTCTATATCGATCTCCTTCATCTCAAGACTGTACTCTTTTCAATATTATTTCAGATCAAGTTGAACAGCCCCTTCATCTTTGTCCTTCATTCAATATTGTTGTCGTTGGTGACTTTAATGCTCGTCACACTGAATGGCTTGGTTCTAGTGTCAGTGGCTTTGCAGTTCTCCATCTCACAAATAGTCAACTTTCCAAAATGCTTTTTAGACAATCCAAATCATTTACCTTCTCTACTTGACTGATGTCTTGTTTTTGATCCTAGTCAGTACTCAGTTCCTCCACATTTACCCTTAAGTGCTTCTGATCACAGTTTGATCTCTTTAAAACTACCATCTCATTCTTCTTTATCATCAGAATCTCATTATTATTTAGATTGTATAGGTCCAAACTCGATTAGCTTCATATTAAGATTGTATATGTCCAAACTCAAATCTCTCATATTTAGATTGTACCTGTCCAAACTGAATTCTCTCATAATTAGATTGTACCTGTCCAAAACATCTTCACTTTTAACAAGGCTGCAAGCAACCACTATTAGAGTTGGAAGTTACTGGTAGAGAAAAAATAAAGTTTATAAAGTTTGCAGGTTATATGAGTTAGGAAAACAAGATGAATGCAAATTCCAAAGAACAGATGTTTGAAGAAAAAATCTAGAGGAAAAAGAATTTTTGAAGCATTAAGGAACAGTCACAGTAAAAGGATGAGACTTAATTGCATCAGCTATATCAGGTAGGATGTAATTAGTGGAACCATAAGATAATATTAATGAAAAGTTCTTATCAAACAATTAAGCTTTGCCTTTGGGTTAGGTAACAAAATCTGAACCTTGCAAGAATAACAGAAGTCTCCAGAAGTCTCTGAAGCCTAATTTTTGAGATAAAATACAAGATTTTGTGACCTGAATATCGCACGCTTTGGCAATAGATAAAACCTTTATACAATGGTTTCTAGCAATAGCAAAAAGACATCTGTTTTCTGGAGATTTGTTTTGGTGATAGATATGGAAGTAATGTTTACAATTAGAAATTGTAGCAGCACAATGAGAGGAAAACCATGGAGAAGAGTGAGGCTTGACTTGGAATCGTGGAGAGGGAATAAAAGATTCCATGCCAGCCTGAAGCCAAGATTGTATCTTAAACAAAAAGAGTTGATAGAATAACTTAAAAACAGCAGAAGTAATTAAAAGTTACATAAAAAACAAATTTGTCAGCTGGAAAACGAAAAATTTCTACTCAAGGGCCAATGCAATAAAAAATCACAGAAAGTATCCTACTCAGCTTTAAGATAGTTGTAAGAGGTACAATAACAGGAAGATTCTGATGATGAAGAAGAATGAGATAATAATTTTAGAGAGATCAAACCGTAGTCAGAAGCACCTAAAGGTGAATGTGGAAAAACTAAGCACTGCCTAGGATCAGAAACAAGACATAAGTCGAGTAGAAAAAGTAAATGATTCAGATTGTCTAGAAAACAAGTTGGAATGTTGACTATTTGTGAAAGTTGACTTTGCATTAAGTGATAGAATCTTTTTGAAAATTTTTTTCTGTCGGTAATATAATATGGTAGTGTGGTAGTGCTGGGTTAATAGACATGTAATATTATATTTGTGTTTTTTAGGTACTGTCCTTCATGAAATTATGCATGCACTTGGATTTCTTCATGAACATACTCGAAGAGATAGAGATAATTATATCAAAATTAACTGGAATAATATTGAAGATGCTGAAAAAAAAAATTTTAATATGTATAATCACGGCCAAGCTGAGACTTTTGGATTTGGGTATGTTATATCTATATTTACTAAATATTCACTAGTTTCAGTTAAGTCAAGTTTAACTATCTTTTAAAAATAGTTCCATGGTTTTTTTATCAAACTTGTTGAGTATCCATGGTATGGTGGTATGTCTTGTATCATAAACTTGATAAATAAACCTGTACTTTAAGTGTTTGTTTTAAATTCCTTATTTATATAAAAATTGGATCAAAAAATCACAGCCATATCACACAAGTAAGCATCAATTATCTCCCAACCATGCTGAACCAGATTTTATTTTGATGAAATTGCAAAGGGTTGTGCCATATCTTTTTAAAATTCTTAGAACCATACAATTCAAAAATTTTAAAAATACTCCTTGAAAAATATTTGGATTTATACAGGGGTCAAAATTATCATGCATGTATGCAAAAACATATATATATATATATATATATATATATATATATATATATATATATATATATATATATATATATATATATATATATATATATATATATATATATATATATATAAATATATATATATATATATTTATATTTATATTTATATTTATATATATATATATATATATATATATATATATATATATATATATATATATATATATATATATATATATATATATATATATATGTTACATAATAAATATATATAAAGTGTACAATATATAAAAGATGGATGTGATAAAAAAATTATATAATAAATAAAATTTGATTTTATTTATTATATGATATCAAATCTGCAAAAATTATATTTTAAGTAAAATATAATTTATAAGTATACAATTCATAAAATATAAAGATCAAATAGCTTTTGATTAATCAAAGTATGTTTGATTAATCAAATTTATTGTGATTGTGTAAAACATTATTGTGATTTTATGTTTAATTATTGCTCCAAATTTTTAAAACATTAATTTTTTGGTTGTGGTTTCTTCAATAGAAAAATTTTTCAAAATTCGAAACAAATACTAATACCCAACCTGATGATTAAGAGCATTCTGCGCAACAAATGCTAATGCCCAGGCGAGTGTTGTAATTGTACATTCTGCGCAACAAATGCCCAGGCGAGTGTTGTAATTGTACATAGAAATATTATTAGATAGGGGAGTCATATCAAGTTGAACAAATTCAACTTCAAAATTTTATCCAATTTTTATCAATTAATAATCAATAAAAAAAGTTTTACATATATAGAAAATAAAAACTATATAAATAAATGTAAAAATATTGACAATAAACAGCACAAAAAAAATATAAATGAATCATAACATTTTTCTACCTTTAAAGTTATGAAAATAAAATAATTCTCTAATAAAGTTAACACATTTAAAACAATTTAGGTATTAGTACTTGTTATGGTAAACGCTATTTATCAGCAATTCAGATATTATTATAATTTTTTATTATTATTTTTATATATATATATATATATTAGTACCTGTTTTTAGTTTTGGAAAAGTTTATTAGAAATCTGTAACTAAAAAATTAATGAATGTTAGTAGAATTTTGAGAGAATAGTTGATATATGTTGGGTTAATATCTTAAATTGTGGTTCTTTACTTATTTATTACTCAAAAAAATTACTTACTAGTGTTACTTTATTTCTATTGTATAAAAATAGTAAAATGATTAAGGATATTAAAAGACAATAAATGAAAAAAAAATAAATAAATAAAACTATTATCTTTCATAAAAATTTTTTTTTTTTTTATGAAAGATAATAGTTTTAAAACTTATCCAATAATATTTTTAAATTACATATTGTTATTAATTTACATAAATTACATTTTTAAATATCTGTATACAAATTTCTTATGCTTTTTTATAAGAAATTGTTTAAAAACTTATTCACACCTCTTTTTTTTCAAGGCATTCTGTCAGCTCCATGTCAAAATGTCTAAGTGGCCACTTCTACCAACACTGTTAAGTTCAGCTAGAGATGTGACACGTTTTTTTGGTTCTTGTTTTTTTGGTTTTTTTAGAAAAAAAAACATAGGGGTCCGTTTTTTTGTTTTTTTTTTTGGAAATATTCAAAAATTCATTGTTTAAGTTACTAAATTTAACTTTAATGGCAATATCTCAATTCATATTTTAATTTATGATTTAAATAGGACAATAAATACTGAAATTTACTGAATTTATTTTTGTTTTGGTAAGCTTAAAGGTTAACACAGTTGGAGCAGTCCTGTATAAAAACTTCTTTTATAATTTTATCTTCCTCGATTTTATCTTTATTGTTTTTAGTGTATGTTGAAACCATAAACATTGTTTATTTATATTTATTATATTTAATAAATTTTAACAACTAATGAATGAGATTTAGCATAATAAAGAGTCAAGCGAGAATGAGTTTTTGTTAATGGAACTAGAGATAATAACTCTTTTGAGCAGCCACCATGATAGAATTTGTAGAAAAGTAAAAAGAAATGCAACTTTACAACAATGGAAAAGAGGCTCAAGCTTAGCAGATAGAGCTTGTTTAGAAGAAAAAGGGCATCATAAGAAGAACCAGCTTAAATATGACAACAACATTCCATACAGGGACAAAAAGATATTTTTAGAGGTAGAGAATGGAATCAAGGGTAAGAAAATGACGATAATGATAAAGTGATGCCAATTTAGCAATCAATTGTATATTTTGTTTACATGAAAGGTCAGTAGTAAATGATTTTCCAAGAAGATGTAAAAATGAGGACTCAGTAAGAGGGTTACCATTTATTAATATAGAAATGTCGACAGTATTGTGGTAGTTGTTTGCAGTAAATAACTGAGTTTTGTTGGAGTTAAAATTTATAAGCCAAAATATGTGGGCCTCAATCTGTTACAGAAGTAAGATCAGATTCAAAATTTAAAAACTTAGTAAAAACTTGAGTCATCAGCAAAAAGAGTTACTATAGATGTAGGGTTGCTGAACTGTTCAGCACTATTATATAGAGATTTCTAAATCTTCATTACTAACAACATTATTTATTTTTTATGTTCAATTTTTTAATTACTTCTGCTGTTTTTAATTTATTCTATCTACTCTTTTCTGTTTAAGATACAATCTTGATTTTAAACTCATAGATACGATCTAGATTCAGTAATGCATTATGGTGCAAACTATTTTTCAAAAAATGGGCAAAATACAATAGATGTTATTAATGATCCAAACAAGTCGATTGGTGACAGATGGCAGTTGAGTACAATTGATAAATTGCAGTTAAATCGATTATATGTAAGTAAAAATTATATTTTTGAAAATTTTGTTACTACATTTTATATTTTTTATTTGTGACATAAAAACTTTTATTAATGTTTAACATATTCTTTTATTTTTATTTTTATCATCTTTCATTTTATGTCTCATAAAGTTGTTCATAAACATTTTACATATTTATATGTATAAATATACAAATAATTAAACTTTACACACAAACTTTAAAATATTTTGTCAAAATTTTCTGTGTAAAAAGATAAGGTCATTGAAAATGAATTTAATTATTCTGTTTTACTTGAATTGAAATTCTACAAAATTTTACAATATGACGATTATATACTTAAATACTTATATATTTAATATTAAGTAATAAATTTTGAATACATTAGCATTAAGGTGATTGCAAGACTTTGTCATAAATTTTGTTTGTATTTTGTTTTTTTCAACCTTGTACCTCCCATGTCTAAGCACAGCACCTATTCACATAATCTAAAAGTTACCAATTTGTTTAAAAATGTGCCTTTAAGTATCATAAAAATGAGCTATTTTTAGAGGTTTACTACTAATTTTAAATAAATTACTACACTTGAATAATTTAGTTCAACCCTTGGAATTAGGAAAAATGAGGTCGGCAATAATTTGCCGACCTCAATCTTTTTTAGGTCGGCATCAGGTCGGCAAAAATTATTTGATACAAAGGTCTGACCATATAACATAAAAACGAGGTCGGCAATTTTTTGCCGACCACAAATACTATCAGATCGGCAGTTGGGTTACCCTGAAAAATTGTCTTTAAAACTTGCAAATACTTATATAATTTTTGAGAAACTTTTCTATTTCCAGACCTTTGGCAACATCATACATTACTTTTCGTAATGATACTAAACATAGAAACAAAAGCAGAATAATTTTGCCGAGGATATCAGCTCCATGTAGCTTATCTGCATGTTGAAATATTTTCCATTTTCTTCAATAATTTTGCCATAAATAATAAATAAAAACCATCAAAGAAAGTGTAGAAGATATCAACAGTCAACTTCACATAGTTCACATTCATAATAACGCTTCTTGCTGTTATTATTACAATTACCACATATCCACCATTGACAAGTAAAACACTGAATCCAAGCAGGCCCAACGAAATTTTTCCAGTTACATTTGCATATTTTGCAAGTATTTTGTTGTTGCTGGTTTACGGGTGCATTTTTTACAGATGACACAATTAAAAAATCTGCATCAAAGATTTCTGTTTCTTTCCCTCTTTTGAGGTCAATTTTTCTTTTTAGATTTTGTGTGGTAATTTTACCAGTTTCAAAAATGTTCTTCTTATTTACTGTCTTTTCTGGAGTTTTAGTTAATATAGTACTTTTACCCTGCTTTCTTCTTTTTTTAGAATCTTTTCTTGGGGGTGCTTTAGGGTACGGATGAATGGATTCTGGACTAACTATTTTGACTGATGATTCTGAAGAATCGACTTGTTTATTTATTTCATATGATTGTTGATTATCTGGTTGTTTAATTTCTGGTTGCTCGACAAGAAGAGGTCTGTCACTAACACTAGATGATATGAAATCACTTTCCCCAAATATTTGTCTATTGAGTGGATAGATCCCACATTTAGAAAACCCACTGCAAACATTTTTTATTGTGAACGACATATTATATGCTTTGCATGCTAGCTGAGGTAAATTATATATGTTAATAATTCTCCCTGGATTGGAGGCCAACCATTCATTCTGAGCCAATCTAAAATAAGATTTAAAAGGACCAAACACCGAAACATCCAAAGGCTGCAATCTATGACTGCAGTGTGGTGGAAATGTTAATAAAATCAAAGAGTTTTCTTTTGCGAATGTTATTGTTTCAAATGAAATGTGGCTTTCGTGGTTGTCCAATAATAACAGCACTGGATGCTCCACAGATGGCTTAGCATGGGAAACAAAGTGCTTCATTGCAACTAAAAAGTTCTCACTTGTCATCCAACCACTTTTGTTACACAGCCCTAAGCTTCCTGTTGGGGCTCCACATATCATAAAATCCTTGTAATTTACTCTCGGAAATATAAATACAGGTGGAACTGTATTACCCATAGCATTCACAAAAGCTAACATTGTCACCAATGAACCTCTTTCTGCTGAAACAGCTTGTGAAACCCTTTTAGTTCCACGAGTTGAAATAATCTTTGGAGGATCTATTACTGTTAATAATCCTGTCTCATCTGCGTTAAAAATACATTCTGGTTTGAATTTATATTTTAATTGAACTTCTAACAAGTTATCAAAAAACATTGACACCGTATGTTCATTAAAAGCAGTTGCACGAGCAAGACTAACTTTTTCTGGCTTACGTAGTGATAATTTTGGATGTCGTATCGAAAAACTTTCCAACCATTGCTTTCCTGCCATTTTATTTTGGTGCCATGACTCTGGAATACTGTTAGAATTTAATGCAATTCCATACTTGTAGGCTAATTGCCTAGTTTGTAATTTAGTTAAACCATAGCACATATTTGAAGACGTTTGCAAATAATCTGCAATAGCACTTTCCTCAGACACATGAAATATTTTTCTATTTCCAATGTTTACAATGTGTTTATAGTCTGGCAGCTTTTGACATCTTGCCATTTTAACAGCTCTACCTACTGCAGATTTTGATAAACTATACATTTCAGCTGCATCTCGTATGGACATACCCTTAAGAACACTTTTTACTGCATCTTCAACATCTAAAGAGTTTTTACGTATTAATTTTGTGTTTGGTTTCATCTAAAATAAAATTTGAAACTTCACAAAAAACCAAATATATGCCATATGCAAATATTTAAATACAAACATGAAATATATAATTAAAATACACACAGATATACACACACATATATATGTATGTATATGTATGATACATATACATACATACAGTATATGATATAAATACATATGTGTGTGTGTAAATAGATATACATAAATGTATATAAATACAATAAATAAATACAAAAAAATAATTATAAGTATATATATATATATATATATATACATATATATATGTATATATATATATATACATATATATATATGTATATATATATATATATATATATATATATATATATATATATATATATATATATATATATATATATATATATATATATATATATATATATATATATAATATTTGCCATCTTTTTAATACTCTGTTATCAACAACATATCTAATTAAACATTTATCCATATTTATACATATTACAAATATCATACATCAACATATCTAATTAAACATTTATACATATTATAAATATCATACATCAACATATCTAATTAAATATTTAAAATTAATTTCATTTAATAAACTATTGATCGACTCAACTTTAAAGAATACTAAAGAAAAGATTTTAATAGAGATTTAGTTCTATGAACACAATTTTGAATTTTAGCTAAAGCATTGGTCACACTTATTTAGAACCACATTTTAACATCAAATTAAAATGTATTTAAAAATAAAATTATGCGTGACCATAACTAAGTTGCCGAAATATATTTTTCTACTATTTTCATATCAGGCTGTTTGGACAAGTCCCATTCAATAATCAATACTTTGTCCCATTCAATAGGCTTCCCACTATATCCACAAATGACAGGACAGGTTAAAAACAGTAATACCTAAACAAAAATACTTTACAAATTTAAAAAGTAGAGACATTTGGGTGTTGAAAATTGGAGTTTCATTTTCCTTAACTTTAGTAATCGCTGCAAAATCAGACACAGAAAATTGTTTTTAAAAATTACTTATTGTTCTTCAAAACACAATAACATCCAATGCCATTACGTTTAGACCATAATAGAAATAAAGACTTGGTCTGTTGAATGGTTGTGTCAAACACTTATTACCACAGGAGTTTGGATAGCCAACCGTAGATGCTTCTATGCAAATTTGATTTTGTCCCATTCATTAAGGTTCTCCCCTACATATATATATATATATACATATATATATATATATACATATATATATATATATACATATATATATATATATACATATATATATATATATATATATATATATATATATATATATATATATATATATATATATATATATATATATATATATATATATATATATATATATATATATGTATACTTTTAACTACTCGTCTTACTTAGTTTTATATATATATATATATATATATATATATATATATATATATATATATATATATATATACGAATAATTTCACTTTTTTTTTTTTTTCAACATTAGGCTATTTTAATATATTTGAAACTAAATTTGAAAGTTCATTTTCGACACTATTCACCCGTAAATATATATTGTATTGTGATTTTTATTTTATTTAGTGTACTGAGGAAAGCATTTCAAAACACAATGATATGGTTAAAAAGAGCATGAAAGTTGTGTGAGTGTTTTTTTTACTTTTGTCACGATACGGTTGTAAGTATATAAGATTTTTTTTATAAATCTTTAGTATATATATATATATATATATATATATATATATATATATATATATATATATATATATATATATATATATATATATATATATATATATATATATATATATATATATATATATATATATATATATATATATATATATATATATATATATATATATATATATATATATATATATATATATATATATATATATATATATATATATATATATATATATATATAAATATAAATATAAATATAAATGTGTAAATATAAATATATTTATATAATATATATATTTATTTATATATATATATATTTTTATAGAAGCAAAAACGTTTATGCACCTGCTGAGGCTAAGATTAAAGAGGGCAAATTTTCATGCTAAGCAGTGAAGTTTGTTTAATCTAGTTACGTATATTTATGCTTTATTGCAACATTGGGCGAAATATTTACATAACGATATGTCACATATTTATATATAAACGTAAAGCATAGCCTACATGCCACATATTTATACATAAACGTGTAATATTTAGACTATGTAATTTTTATTGATTAAATATGCGTAAAGCGCAGACTATAGAAAAATTATCATTTTTGATTGTGGTACTAATTTAAATGTAAAAACTAATTTAAATGTGATTTTAAAAAATTAAGAAAATAAAAAATCTCTATTATAAAGATAAAAAAAATTTCTAGTTTTTTAAATTTATGTTGGCAATACATTAACGGTAAATTATAAGTTAAACCCTGGTTTAGTCTTTTTTTAAAATGAAATAGATTAAAAAAATCTTTCTAAATTAAATTTAATTAAACTTTCTTAATTACCTATTAGTAATTTCTTGTTTAATAATTATAATTATATATAATACTTTTTATATTTACTGTTCAAATTTTGTAATTCAAATTCGAAATAATCATTTAAAGCGAAAACATTTTTTGATACCTTTAGGTTTTAATATTTAGTATTGAACTCCTATAATTTGAAAACACCAGCAATTCGAACATATTTTGAAATCCCTTGAGTGTTCGAATTATATGAGTACAACTGTATTCAAGGCCGGCGCGATAGGGGGGTGTGACACCCCCCCCCCCCCATCAATGATTTTTAGTCGGCAAACTGGACCCTTAGTCGGCAAATTGGACCTAGTTAGTCGGCAAATGTGGACCCCCTTTCGATATAGGTTAGACAGTCGGCAAATGTCGTCATGACAGTCGGCAAATTTTGGAAAACGAGGACCTTTTTTTTTTTTTTTTTTTTTGTAATGGCACCCCCCCCCCCCCCACGTGACACCTACTCGCGCCGGCCCTGACTGTATTTATGATTTTTCAGAAAATTTAATTAACACAATTTATTATATATAAATGTTATATACAACAATTAAATGTTATTATATATAACAGTTAAATGTTATATATAACAATTAAATGTTTATACCGATGGTGTGTGACTTAGTACACGTTTTTTGTTTAATATAAAAACACAGAAATTATGATATAAACGTTGTTTTTTTTTTATTCATATATTTGGTATTTAATACCAAAAATATGAATAAAGAAAGTGATTTTTTAATGAGTTCTTATGTGTCGCTTTAGAAGTTATCGAGACAAAGAAATTTGCAAAAAGTTAAATGAGTTAAATGATTTGGCTTATGACACGCTCATATGTTTATCATATGAGCCTGATTTGTAAACAAATTTTTTTTTTTAAATATCATGTTTTGTTTACTTTTTATTCAAATTTAATATTTATATTGAGTTATATTAATTAATGTTTTAAATAGTAATAATACTTAATTATTATACAGTTCTGTGCAAGTTAAGTCAAAATTAAAAACTTTATGCTTTTGAAGCGCTGTCCATTATTATAAATGCGCATTTTTTCTAATACGCTATTATTAAGTTATGTAGTACTCAATGCAACCAAGGCATAGAACAAACAAACTCGTAAAAAAAAAAAGCCGATAATTTCAAACAAATTCGATTAGTTGTTAGTGGCAAATCGAAAAACGTTTTAGTTATTGATATTTTATTTATGCAAACAAAGAATTCGAATCGAAAGTAATTTATTTATAAAGTTTACCGCCTCTGTTTTTTTATTGTTTACGCATTCTGAATGGAATAATTTATTATTTCAAGATGGCCGAATAAGTCCCGAGTATTTCAAAAAATGATACTAAATACCGAATACAGTTTTTTTAATGGGGCTAAAAATTACGATTATTTATGCAAAAACGACTTTGGTAGAAAAATTAACACTACCATAGGTTATCTAAATCAAATGTGACATTATTGTTAAACATACTAATTTAGGTGTGGTATTAAAAATAGTAACTTCAATTTTCATAAAAAAAATGATTTTTCATGGATAATTTTCCCAAATATTGTCTGATTAGAAGTTTCAAGTTACATTCATTGAAAACAAACATCAATACGTGCTTTTATGAAAAAATCAAATCCACAGACTTATCTATAGCCAAGCCCCAAGGAACTTTATGTTGAAAATTACATCTTTTCTAAATTAAACTACGCTTGACGATTTGTTATAGTCGCATTACTTTTACCAGTTTATAATAGTGGTTAAAATAATCTTTCCATACATACCAAATATGTCATACTTTTTGCTGAAAAAACTTACATATGTTGTAATTGAAAAAACTTATATTTTTGTTCGGAAAAACGTGTACCAGGCCTTAGTTGCATTGAGTATATATCATCCTAATTCGAGTGTAGTGCCTACCCTAAGCATAAAATACATTTAGAATATCGTTATATATAATAGGTACTAAGTTTGGATATTTTGTGTAAACTTAACACCTATTATTATTACTATTAGAAGTCGCAGCTCAATTAAGTTTAAAAGGTATTATATATATATAATGCAAATGCATTATATATACATGGGCGCCCGCAGGATTTTTTGATGTTTCAGAAAGGACACTTTAGCACGTTGTGCAAACTCCAAACTTAAGTATGTTTATACCTATGCCAAATGAGGAAGCCTTCCAAAAATTTGGGACGGTGGAGGCCTGGGGAAAAAAATGCCTTAAAATGTTTGTCCCCCCTCCTGCCCAAACGTAAGGGAACTGATGAAGTAAATTTTGCGGTGGATAACCTATATTTGTTGTCACGCTACTGCAACTAGCATATAACTTTTACTTTTTACTTTTACTTATTAAGTAGGGAACAGCGGCGGATTAAGACTTGAAAAAATATATAATTTATGGGGGCCCCTAAATTTGCGGAGCCCGGGGCTTTAGCTCCCCTACCTCCTAGCTCTCCCCTTCTCTTCCTTGATCCGGCACTGGTGGGAACATTATAAGTTTGAGTGAATAACATTTGTTTTTTAGAAAATTTATGGACTTAAACACTTCGTGAAAGTTCTAGCTCTTTGATATGATAAAAAGAGAAAAGGAAAAACGATGGAAATTTTTTTGAAGAATAAAAAAGATTAGTTAAAAAAAAAGTCAAGTAAGAAAAATATTGTAAGGTATAAACGAACGAAAAAATAGAAGAAAAAATAAAACATGAAAATGAATAAAGAAATAAAAGAACAAATAAGTAATTAAACAATTTAATAAAACAAATAAAAAAAAAAAATTAAAAGCAAATTACTTGGTACTTTACTTTTAATTTTTTGAACTTTTTTCTAAAAGAAAAAAAGTTCTAAAAATGTTCGAAATAATAATAAAAAGAACGAATTAAAACATGAAAATAAATCGCCAAAAAATAACAAAAGAGTATTATTTTTTATTATTGTTATGTTTTATTTAATTTGTGTTTTGCCTTTTCGTTTGCGTAAAGTTTGTTACTATGTTATTGTTGTTGCTAATTATTTTTATTGTTGCTTGCTGTTGTTATTATTGAGTGTTTTCATATTTTTTTTTTGTCTTATTATTTAATTTATTATAGCTTTATCGTATATATGAAAATTTCCTGGAAATTTTCAAGTCGGGAAATTTTCAAATAATGGCGCGGAATTTTTTTTTTTTTTGAATTTTTATAGTTTTTGCATTGTTTATCATTACTTTACTTTTTTTTAATGATATTATCAATAAAAAATCAATAATTTTTTGAAATAAAGGTTTCAAATACCAAATAATCACTTATACAATAATAATACTACTATTATTGGTTCTTAAATAAATATATTATAATATCATTAATCATAATCACTTATACAATAATAATACTACTATTATTGGTTCTTAAATAAATATATTATAATATCATTAATTTAATATTTATGTTTACTACTAAACAAATGATATTATTATAATATCATTTATGTTTAGTAATAATTTAATTTTTTTTTTTTTTTATTTATTTATTTATTTTGCCGTTGATAAATATTACAAAAAAGAAATTACAATAAAAGAAAATCCTGGCCGAAGCAAGAAGAAGACAGGTTGTCTTATCACCGAGCCCCGTCACACAAAAATTTACATGAACAATAAATGATAAAAGACAAAAAGACAGTATAAATACAAAAACAAAAACAAATCAAAAACTTCAGCAATAAAATAATTTGTTGCTGACAATCTTCCAACAAAATAATTTTAAATAAAAAGGTAAAAACGACAGAAAATCATGAAAGTTATAAAAACACAAAAAAAAAATGCGTTGTTTAATTAAAAAAAAAAAAGCAATATATGTAAACATAAGTATTTGTTGGGCTGATTATTTAATATCATCAAAAATAGTTATCTTTTATACTAATGGTTTGAAACCATTTTAATAAAAGCCAAAGAAAGTGATAAAGATTTAATTTATTTTTAAGTGATTTAGTTTAAACCTTTAAATTGTTTTCAAAAAAGGTATTTGAAATCTAATTTATAAATATAGTTATAATGATATTAATTATATTTTATTTCCCTTGTTATTAATAATAAGTTTTTATCATGATAATAAGGGTAAAAATAACAACAAAACCAATATATAATTTATATAATCATAATATAAATTATAGTTGTTGTTATTATTTGTGTGTGTGTGTTTGATCATTTATAGGTATTATAATTTATATGTACAATTATATTGTAATGATAAAACAATAAGTTGATATATGTTGGTATAAAACAATAAGTTGGTATTATATAATAATATAGCAGGGTTGCATGTAAACTAAATTGACTAAGTGTATCTTTTAATTTGTAAGTTTAATTTTAAATTGTGTATTGGTACTTCTTTTTAAATTATGGATGTTTTTAGTATCAAATAAAATATGCCTCGAGAATTAGATCAAGTCTGGAATGGACATTTAAAAAAAAAATATGCAATGATATAAAAACAGCACTTATTTGCACATACTGCAATGCAAAGTTTCTCACACAAAACTCTACTTGGGCTAAAAAACATTTAGTTACAGATTGTCCTAAATCACCAAAGTTTGTCAAAACAAAATTTGCAGCTGATGTTTTGAAATAGAGTTTTGCGCCTAAAACTAAAAGTGGAATAATACTTATAAGATCTTTATCTGAACTTGACACAAATGCAAGTAATAATGAAGGTGTATCAGGTATAATAAGCAACTCGTGCGATAACAACCTCATCAGTTTTGCAAAAAAGGTAGGCAACAATTCCACAATAAGTGTGGTTGCTAATGACTTACATTCTGATCTACCAGAGTGTTCTTTTTCAGAATCTTCAGAAAAATTTCTATTTTATCTCTTAATCAAAAACCTATATCATATTTTTTTGATTAAATATCAGCACAAGAGTGTGATGAAATAAATATACAATATTAAAAAGCAATTTATACAACAGCCAGCGCTTTCAGCATGTCAGAAAATACATTTTAGATTAACTTCTTTAAAAATATTTGACCTGGTTGGTCACCTCCCAAACTTTATGCTCTGAGGCATGATCTTTTAGACACAGTATATGACCAAGTAAATAAATTCAAACAAGAACTCCCACACCGGAAAATACCTATTTGATCAAATAGTTGAGATTGTTGAAGATGAAAATGTTATACCAAACAAGAGAAAAACAAAAGCTTTTTGCACTGACAATGATTGGATGTCAGCATATGGCTGTTCTTCTCACGGTCTAAATTTATTAGCTTGTGACCTAGTAAAGAAGAACAACACAATTTCCGAAACACTAAAGCAAAATAAACAAGTAGTTTCAAAAATAAACATGCTTTAAAGAGTATCCTTGAGCGCTGTAGTCTACATTCTCTGAAAAAAAATTTGACTTTAATTCTTCCTGTTGTAACTAGATGGTCATCTCAGTTTTCAATGTTACAGCGCAATTTGCGCTTTTATGACTCATTGTGATTGGCAGTAACTGATGAGAAAGCCCAAGAACATATTGAAAAACACAATAAAAAAAAAGGAATTAACTTTAAAGAATTAGTGTTAAATGAGTTATTTTAATATATCAAGTATATATTTTGCTTTATTCTGATCTAGTTTATTTTGCGTAACTTTTTTTTCGACAGAAATAGTATTTTCATTGTTCGTACCCGGTCCATCTACTATGTAATTATACGTATATGAACTTTATTATTGTACTAAAGTAGACTTAAGTACAAAAAATTAAAAAAGAAAGTTACTTATGAATGAAAATTTAGCAGCCGTGGCGCAGTGATAGCGCACTTGCTTCAGAAACGTAAGATCCGTGGTTCAAACTCCACCTCTGGGCAAGTTTTGCGACACCGGTTGGGAAGGAGGCGTGAACTTCCTATTAAATGCTCTTCCGCGGTGCTCTGTGATAAGACCGTAAGGACTTTTTGGGACACCTTAATCAACTTAAAAAAAAAAAAATATGCGGACCTTTTTTTTATAGACCATTTTAGCCCCTCCTTGACAAGTGACAAAATCCGCCCCTGGTTTGTATCCGGTTATCTTGTTTTTGGAGTAACATAATCAGTTTCATTCAAACACGGAATAATGTGTTTATTTTAAGAGACACTTTCTTGATAAATTTCAACCATGTTTTTTAGATCTTCAGATACATTGATTTATTTAAAACTTCAGCGATCCTTTTTGTAAGATGTATCTTGACTCTTTGATAATGATAGTACTTGTTTTAGTTTGAATTAGCATAATTAATTATGCTAACTAATTAAAAACAAAGATTTTCAATTATACTAAATTACCATTCCTTTAATGCAAAAAAAGATAAAAATAAAACTTAGAGAGTAATAACGCATCTTAAAAATAACATTAGACAAAATAATTTTTTTTTTTAATCTATACGATTGCAAACATTTTTTATCCTGATGTTTGTTGAAAATAGTTTGAGTCAGGTAGTAGATATTGGTCCGAAGCAATTTTTTACAAAAACAATGGCGATCCGCTGTCGGCACCCGAAATCTATATGACGTCGGCATTAAGACAAGGTACACTGTACTGAATAAGTCAGCAATAGTTAGCAAATGGCTCATTAAACTAAACTAAATAACTGGAAATAAAGGATGATCCGTAAAAAAATTATACATGTTCAATAAACATTAAGTTAAAAGTGTTTACATATCTACAGCCGTATAAATAAAAAATCCGATTTAGAATTATATATGACATAACGCTGTTTCAATAATGCAATAAACCCCCTTCCCCCACCCTCTTTGTCAAAGTTTTTTTTTTATAAAAAAAATGGTATTATGTAGTAATAGAAACTGAAAATTCAATCTTGGGACCTTTCCCATTTCTCCTAATAGCTGATTTTAATACGCTTTTTAAAACATTGTTTTGAAAGTTTGATGACTTACAAGTAGGGGTGTACCGGATTGGAAATTTTGAATTCAGCCGGAGACGGATTTGCCGGAATTGTTAATAAAATTCCGGCCAAAATCCCGGCCGAAACGAGAATTATACATAGGGATCGTCTATGAAGCACATAGTCTTGGATGAAAAGAGGGGGTCTGCAAATAGCGTATATGAGATGGGGGCAGGGGTCAATTATAAATGTAAGGAGACTAGATTGAAAAAAAATATCATAAAATGTTTGGTAGGTAAGTTAAAAACGTATGTACTTTTAGGGAGGTAAGGGATACCAAAAAAAACGTTAGCTGGGGTGCGTATGTATTTTGTGGAAGTAATTTTTTACCTGTAAGAATAAAAGTGAAAGCCTGCGCCTCAGCATAGTAACTGCATAATATATGTTTATAACCTATAATATATATATATACATACATATATATATATATATATATATATATATATATATATATATATATATATATATATATATATATATATATATATATATATATATATATATATATATATATATATATATATATATTAGGGTAGGTCGATTTTAATTCCGCATATTGCGTAATATTGCAGTAGTTGTAGACAGTTAAAATATGATTACTCTTAAAATTTGAGAGATTTTGGATGAAGAATCGCTTGCGGATTTAATTTTTAAGATTTGTTGGATTATGTAAAAAAACACCTTAAAAAGCGTTATATGCAAAACTTGACGTTTTAACTATATTCATATTTAAATGTTTTTCAATACTATTAGCTTTGCTGTATGATTTAAGTTTATAATAGTTTATAACAATTAAGCTAAATTTATAGCAACTTGTTAACTATTTGAAGATTTAAATAGTGAAACTTTTATTCTTATATTTACATAAGAATATCAAAATAAACATTGTTTTCACAATTTAAAACATTTTGGTTATGGATATATATATTTTAGGAAAATATTTTCAATTAAAAAATATCATCATAAGAATGGGAATAATGCCCTTTTGAAATATACGGTTTACGCATCTTCCTGCTTAGTAGTTTAGTTAAAATGCAGCTGTGTCGGTTCTCGAATCCATAAACATATTTGGATGCGTTCGACAGAAGTTTTACCGCTCACTCAACACTCTGGGAATGAGATGGAAAGTCGGGGATTTCAGGTTTAACATTATTGTCAATCGCATATTGGATTTCCTCAACTGAAAAATGTTGTGTTGTTGGGAGCTCCGTAAATTTAGTAATGTTGATATCTACCAACTCATACCAATGATTAGCATTAAAATTAATTTCTGGAATTTTTTTTCCAAACTTTCGTTGTTTACTCTATAAATATAAATCAAATCCAATTACCACATTTAATGTATCATTTTTTTTCAAAACTTTATTTTAGTTTACTATAAAAAAATACCTTTGCTTTAGACCCAGTAGGATTTGAAAACCAAAGTTTCGTATCTTGCTGTCATTATCTTTTAACATGGCATAAAGAATATTTTCAGGTTTTAGGCACAATGCATTGTTTTTAATGTTTTTTTTAACAATATGTTTAACATCATCAAAGGGGAGATTATTTATTCTAGTGATAATAGAAAAAATAAGGCGCGGGGATTCGTGAAATTTTGAAGATTTTTTTATATCGAACTACGCTGGAGCGTAAACCTGAACAATAAAACATACAAGTTTTTTTTAAAGAAACAGTTGGTTGATTGTCTCTAATATACAAACAGAGAAGGCGAATAGCTAGACTTGCATGGTTAAGCGGTCCAGTATTTGTAGCAGTATTATCAAGAAGAACAGCTTGTATACTTTCCAAACTGTTAAGTTCTTGTAAAACACTAAACGTTTCGGTAGCAAGAACTAAACCTGTAGCACCGGTGACAGGAATCGTCCGATGAGTCAAATAATTTCCACTCGATTTTCCATCTTCATAAGTAAATGTGAGTTGATGTTCAAGTTCAATGCATTTCTTTAGTACTTCTCTTTGAGGTAAGTTTATTACTATATTTGTTTTAGTTATTTGATCGAGCTTGCTGTCAACCCCAAGACAAATTAACTGTTTTTTTTGTTCTGAGTCCACCTCTTCACTAACGATTTTTACTTTTGACTTGGCCCTATCTAACTTGCATTTGTCAATCAAAATATCTTTAATATCAACGTCATTTTTCAAGAGATGTTTTATGTCATGTAGTAAAGCATTTGCAAGGACTGCACCTATGTTTGACGAACACTCATTTCTGACTAATTCCATTGCAAATCTTGGAAGTTTAACTAAGTTGTATTTTCCAATAGGATTATTTACTGGTTTCCATTCACCTTCATCCTAAAAAGAGTTAATAAAATAAAACGCTTTCTGTTTTATCTGTTACAAATATTTCATGTATTTATAAAATATTTACCTCCGTATTGGTCAAACCACTTGTTTCTTCAAGTAAGTTTACTTGTGCTATGAGGAATTCATCTTCATTAACTCGGTTATGAGATATTTTTTGTCGTTCTTTATCAAGTCAAGAAGAAAATTGATATGCACCTTTTGGACAAATTTTTTTCCTGTGATCACGAAGATAAGCTCTGTCTTCCAGAGGTACTTTATTACTTTGAGAACAAAGGCATACAATATGTTCTTTGATGCAATTTTCTTTATTACATGAAACTTTTCTGTCACTACAGGGAAACACATCTAATGAACAGGAACACGCAAAAATATCAAAAAGTTTGTCCAAGTTTGCATCAAGATTTCTTTTAGCGCTTGCTTTTCCGTGCTTGCGATCAACACCCTTAACAAGTACGAGAAGATCTTTAACTTTCCTATTAATAGATTTGTCAGTTATAAGAGGTAATCGTGTGTTTACTGTAGCCCGAATTGATTTTATATTATTGCTAATTTGCTGAGTCACTAATACGATATCTGCATTTGGATTTATATGAATAAGATAGTAATAATACTGAATAACCTGTCTAAAAGTGCTTGGAAAGTGTCGTTGATAGTTCACATGGGCCGCCACAATATTTTTTTTCATTTTCCATCCGTGTAATTGCAACCTTTACTTTCGGCATTTTTGTAGATTAATTATATATGAAAACTGTATTAAAGTATTACACTTAGAGTAATGGGCAACAGCGTGAGTTTTTAGTGGGGGCCAAAGCATCAAAAAAACCTAAAATATCAAAACTTACTATTAAAAACCTGCTTTGATAAAAAATAAAGAAATAAAAACTCTTTTAAAAAGATTTGGGGGCCATGAATTCAGGAAACTCAGGAATTGAGTAAAACCATTAGTTCCATCAAAAAGTTTTATATTTTAATCTACTTCAGAAATTGCAAATCAAAACTTATGTAATATAAACAGTTTAAAACATTACTCTAGATATAATAATCATAAGTATTTACTTTTGATATTAAAAGATTTCTTTAAATTGCAGTTTTATTTTTAAACCTACTTTTAAATAAATTTAACTTTAAAACTAACTTTAAAATACAAACAAGAAATTTTAATACAAAAAAGATTTGCTAAGTTTAAATGCGTGTAAACGATTGGCTTCTTAAAACAATTGCGCTTGTTTATTGGTTACTTTATAAACTCAAAAGGAGATATTTTAAAACGAGATTACTTGACTTAAAATAAAATTTTGCAACGTTTGAAATAAACAATCTAACAAAACTAGTCCAAAATTAAGACTTAAAATGCAAATCCGCAAGCCATTCTTAAACCAGGATACTTGAGATTTGGTAAAACCTCATTTCTAACCTAGACACAGTAACTGCAACATTACGCAACTCAAAAGTCAAAAAAAAAAGCTAAAATCGACCTACCCTAATATATATATATATATATATATATATATATATATATATATATATATATATATATATATATATATATTATAGGTTATAAAGTCTATGCCACATGTCTTAAAAAATGAAGGTAAAAAAATAAATTCCGGCATTCCAGCCTGAATTTGCACTCCGTCAGGGTTAGGGTTAACCCTAACCCTAACCCTAACCCACTAATTTTCTTAGAAAATTAAGTTAATCAAGTTAAAAATCTTCGCAACCAAAGTAAATACGCAACGATTAAATTTAAAGTTTTAAAGTTAAAGTTTTTTGTCGCGAATTTAGAAAATAAGAAAATTTTGCGTATAATTTAGAAAAAGTTTTATGCAAGTTTAAGCGGTCGAAGCAGAGTAAAATTGTTTAGCCATTGAGAGAATTTAACTTGTTTAGCCATTGAGAGAAGTTAACTTGTTTAGCCATTGAGAGAATTGGATTTTTTTAATGAAAATAATTTTAACTTGCGGTTTTTTGAATTAGGAACTTTTAAAAATGAATTAAAATCATTAAATAATAACTTAACGGTGATACACATAAAAAAAAGAATTATAATTAACAATATTGACAAACTAAAACATTTTTTATAGAATGTAATTATATATTCTGGTTAACAGAAACTTGGTGTTCAGACGAATTATCCAGAATAAATTCAAACCTGTTAATTTCGAACTAAAAACTAATATCTTACATGCGAAAAGTTCAAAAAGGAGGAGGTAGAATTATGACATATATTCATAATGATCTGACAACTAAAACTAAAGATGATCTTTCGGTTTCTGATGCCGATGGTGAGGTCTTTACAGTTGAAATAATAAACAAAAAATATAAAAAATATACTGGTGCCCATCTATTACAGACCAACTGGAGGTGATATAAAAAACCTTTCAAATCACCTAAAAGAAATATTTCTAAAAAATAACAAAGAGCACAAAATGTTATTTTATCCTATAATATACAAACTAACCCGGGTAACATTAAATTCAATCACTACAACAGACAACATATCGACTAATTCTTTTTATGATTCTTCATTAAAAGCAGGTGTAATCAAAACGGATATATCCGATCACTTTCCAATATACTTTTCCTTTTTTCAAGATACAAAAAATAATAACTTTAAACGAAAAATTAAATAATTATACTATTCAAGATTATAAAGACTTACTATCGGCAGTAAAGTGGGACATGATTTACCAATGCAACCTTGGGCATATCAACTCCGCTTATAATGGATTTATAGAAATATTCTTAAAGCACTGTGATAATCACTTCTCAATTATATGATAATCACTTCCCAATTATAAAACAAGAATTAAAAGCAAAATATTTACAATGTCCATGGATTACTAGAGGTATAAAAAAATCTTCCAAAAAAAACAACTTTAAATCAAGTATAATAGTAAAATAGAAATGAAAAAAATCTAAATATTTACAAACAATACAAAAATTTATTTGAAAAAATAAAAAAAAGTTAAAGAAAAACTACTACTCGAACCAAATAAAAAATGCAACTGGTGACATTAAAAAAACATGGAATACTATAAAAGAAATAATTGGGAACAAAAAAGTTTAAACAAATAATTTATCTGCCATAAACAATATAGAGTAAATTGACAAAATACGATTGCTAAAAAATTTTAAAATTTTTTTGTTAACATTGGCCCTAAACTTGCCTCAAAATAAAGTCTCCTAATAACTCATTTAAATCATACCTAAGTGTGAATACCTAGAGCGAATTAAAATATAAAGAACTAAACTACCAAAAACTTAATATTGCTCTAAATTCCTTAAAATTAATTAAAACTCCAGGTATAGATGATATCTGTGGTAGGGTAGTGGTATTATCTGTGGTATTATCGTTGTAAAATGTCTTTACAATGATAAATAAACCTGTATTTGAAATTTTTAAGTCTTCGATTAAAGCAGAAATTGTACCAGGTAAGTCATACTTAATTAATAACTATAGACATATCTCGGTATGAGGGCCAATGATACCGGGGAGAAAGGGTAGCACGTAACCCCCTCTTAAAAGGGGGGGGGAGGTTACGTGCTACGTAAAGGGTTACCATTCTAAATGACCTTTTTTTTTAGAAAATTCTAGAAGGAGAGAACGTTTTTTAGAAATCAACCAAGGTGCTTAAAACTACGAAGAGTTGAGTGCGGTGTCCCAATATATCGATATATTGGATCTCCAATATAATATAAATGTTAAACCTTGCATAAATATTTCCATTAAATTAAGAAAGTAAATAATATCCTATAGTTTTATCAATATTCATTAAAATATACTTGCAACTCTGTTAAATATCAAAATAAGAGCTAATTAACAAGTAAAAAAACTAAGAATAATAAACTCGATTTTCATTTCGAAAAATCAAGAAAACTATTTATCTAATTTAAAAATGTCATTTTTTATTATAAACTTAAAGGTATTTAATGATTTTACAGTATTTAAATTTTTTGTTTTTTGAAAAGTGTTCCATAGTTTTAGTCCGCGGTATGATATTCCATAATCATAATACTTACTATTAATTCTTGGTAATTTGTAAGTATTCTATTGGTTTATTCTAAGAGAATACTTTTTGTTTACACTTTTTGTGAATTTATCATTAGTTTTAATTTATCATATCAAAGTTTTTTGGAATCAAGCTGTTGTTACATTTATACATAAAAATTAGGTGTTAGTAAATGTTCATTTCATATATATTCATCATTTCCATGTCTTCCAGTAATGGTTTTGCATGTTTACATATTTTTTTTTTTATATATAAGTCTGTATGCATGTTTTTGTAGAGAAAATATTTTTTTAAGTTTTGTTGGTTGAGTACTAGCCCATGTGATATTGGCATAGTATATGAGACAATCTATTGGGCCAAAATATACTAATTTCAGACTTTCTGATGTTACATATATAGACTTTCTGATGTTACATATATATACAAATACGGTACATCAAACCAATTCTTTTAATAATTTTTGATTGAATATAATTAATATGGGGAAGCCATGATAAATTTTCATCAATAAGAGTTTCTTAAGAATTTTATTGAATCATTTTTACTAATTAGTGTATCATTTAAAATCAAATCAGGTAATTTTAAAGGAAATTTTTCATCTTGTGATTTTTTATGAAATAAAGTATATTTTGTTTTGTCTTTACATTGGGTGAAAGTTTATTTGCCTTAAACCATTCATCTACATTCATTAGTTCAGAGTTCATGTCAGAATACAGTTGATTAATGTCACAGTTTGAAAGGAAGAGATTTGTGTCGTCAGCAAACATTATTGAGTTAAGCTTAGCTGGTGCATTATTTAAATCATTTACATAAATCAAGATATAGATAATAGCCAATGGACCAAGAATTGACCCTTGTGGAACTCCACAAAAAATTTTAAGATTCCTTACTAATAAAACCAGATTCCTTACTAATAAAATATTGTTTTCTTTTAGTGAGGTAGCTTTTTAACCAATCATGGGTTTTATTTGTCACTCCGTAGTGTTTTATTTTTTCCAAAAGCTTTTTGGAAAAAATAAAACACTACGGAGTGATAAATAATAAAACACTACTATTATTGACTTATCAAATGCTTTTGATAAGTCAATAAATAGTTCTAGAGTAATGCTATTATTTTCAAATCCTTTGGTAATTTGGTCTACTATTTCAATTATTGCGTGTGCTATTGAATGTTTTTTCCGAAAACCAAACTGTTTTGTGTAAAATAAATTAATTTCATTAAAATGGTTATAGATTCTATTATAAATTACACGTTCAAATATTTTTGATAAATTCTGTATCAGTACTTTCTGTACTGATACAGGTCTATTATTAGAGATTTCAGATTGATCATTATTTTTGTAAATTGGACATACTTTTGCCAACTTTAATGCTTCAGGAAAATTCCTTAATTTATTGAAAGTTTTATAATATGGAACAAAGGTTTGGAGATGTATTTTTTGTTTGAAATAACTATATTACTAGAAACGTCATCGAAACCAGTTGATTTATTCTTTTTTAAAAAAGAAAAAGCAATTTCATACCTTGATTCTTTGAATTTCATACCTTCATGCTTAAACCATGGTATTCTAATTTCCAAGGCAAGCGCGCTAACCACTGCGCTACGGCTGCTCAAATTTTTTTGACTCTAAACTCTAAATTGTGAATTTAGAGTTTGTCTTCAATTGCCAGAAAAAAGTTAGCTAAAAAAATATTCTAATAAAATTTTATCTTTGTCCCCATCATAGCAATACTTAAGGTGGCTCATAGGTTAAAAAAATAACTTTTACATTTTAATAATAAATTAATTAATAATTAATTTATTATTAAAATGTAAAAGTTATTTTTTTAACCTAATTTTATTCATATCAATATATAAAAATTTACAATAAGACATATAGTATGTCTTATTATAAGTATAAGTTTATACTTTATTGTTTTAAGGTGGTATACCACCTTAAAAATTTTTTAGCAGTCTATAGACTGCTAAAAAAATTATTTATGTATTTTACAATATTTCAATAAATTTTTTTACTTCGAACACAATAAAAACATTAGAAAATTCATAATTTTCAATTTTTTTTTTTTTTTATATATATTTTGGGCAAAAACAGGTGATTTTAGGCCAAAAACAGGCTAAAATCTTGGCAAAGATATCTCAAAAAGTATAATTTATTAAGTTCTAATTTTTTGTATTTGTATTTGTTTTATGTAGATAAATGTCCTGAGATAAAAATTTTTGTTAAAAAATTTTATATTTTTTTATTTATATACCCTTGATTAATATAGGGTATTTAAAATTGATATGAAATTTTAATAAAATTAGAAAATGCAAATTTTTGACCGCCTAAAATTGGCTTTACTCCCTTTCCCACACCCTTACCAGATGGTTTGGATTCATCAAAACAAAAAAACCTAAAAATTGCAACCCCTTCTTTTAATAGATGGTCTGGATCCTGGTTGATTTCTAACTATTTATGAATAAATTATCATTTTTTTTATTTAAGTAATCATTTTTATAAAAGAAAAAATCATCTTAAATTAGATTTAATATAATCATTAAAGCTAATTTTACTTGAGTTTAAGTTTTTAAAATTTTTAAAGTTTGCTAATAAAAATAAAACTTTACTACTCTCTTTAAAACTTCTGTTAAAAAAAAAGAAAAACAGACCGGAATCTTTATAAATATTTTGATAATAGGAATAATTACCTTTTCTTTTTCTATTTTTTTTTTTCCTGTTTAAATGATCAGTGATTAAAAATTGATTTAAGCGGTTTACTTTCTAAGCCTTTTTTCTATTATTTTTACCCGAAAAAAACTATTTTTCTCATCAGCTAATCAGTTTTCAAGCTTTATCTAGAGAATTTGCAACAAATTTCTAAATCATATTAGAAATCTTATTAACCAGTTGAGTAATGAAGAAATTGGAACAAACAAACAAATAGCTCAGGAGCTGTTTTCGTTTGTCGGTAGACTTTATCATCTTCAAATTGCTATTTTGGGCCGTTTTCGTCGGCCTTCATTATCACTTTATAAACACTGTAGAAAGCAATGCGATGAGAGGCGTCGTTAAATTTAATCTAAGAATTTAATATCTTTTTTTACCTCTGGCATCAAATTTAATTTACATGTTTAGTGAACTTGTATAGCGCCATGAGTACTGGAACTCCATATATCGGCAGTAAAATTAGCCTTATTTCCAAGGCAAAGATTCGTTATGAAGGTTTTCTGTATACAATTGACGCCAAGGACTCTACAGTCACACTCGCCAAAGGTAAACTAAGAAACACCTATAAACGTAAAATCTTCAGTAAAATAAGATTTTTGTTTTGTTGTACTGGTTTTCCAACATAACTTTACCTGTAAGATATGTGTTTTTTAAAAGATATCTACTTTAAACTAATGGTTGTTAAGATACTTAATTGTCTTAATTTAACTCAATATATATAATAATAAATGTATTTTGAGATAAAATTATTATGCTTACTTATAAGTAGACTTAAATTAAAAATATCTTGGTTTTTTAGTGATTTCCCTTGGCACTGAAGATCGTGTGCCAGATAATCCAGTTCCTGCTAGAGAAGAAGTGTTTGAGTATATTGTTTTTCGGGGCACTGATATTGATGATTTGCATGTATGTGAAGCTCCCAAACCACAAGATCCTGCAATTGTTCATGTAACTATGTTGATTTCACTTAGTTATTTTGTTCAGTATTTTAAAAAAGTAGTTTTATAACTATGATAAATTAGGTATAAAAATGGTAAAGTTAAGACAAAGTATCAATTAATAAAAGAATTTAATTCCAAATAATATAATTATTGTTGATATAATTAAGTTTAGTTTAGTCAACAAATGTTTTGTATAAGGAATCTATTTTCTCAGTTTAATATTAGCAGTTGACCTTATGTATGAACATATCTGTTAGACTACCATAATAATATCTAATACTTTAGAATGGCCCTATTCAAACTCCTCATCATTCGCAGCATTATCATGCTCCAACTCAACATCAGACTTATAGTCCCTTTGCTGCTGGTATGCCTCCATTTGGCTATACCTCCCAGTTTTACAACCAAAAACCTCAGAAAACTCCAAGTTTACCTCGTACACCCACACCTGAATTAGTTAATGTTTTAAGCAAAGATGATAGAATTCAGTCTAAAGTAAATAGAGACGGTGATAGACGAGATAGGGAGCATCGTAATGATCGTTACTCTCAAGATAATCGTAATGATCGTTACACTTATGACAATCGTAATGAACGCTACACCCAAGATAACCGTAATGAACGCTATTCTCAAGACAATAGAAATGATCGTTATTCTCAAGACAATAGAAATGATCGTTATTCCCGAGACAATCGCAATGACCGATATTCACAAGACAATCGCAATGATCGTCATTCTCATGATAAGAAAAATGATTATAGAGATCGTAAAAGTAAATCGGAGCAAAATGAGCGTTACAATAAAGATGACAAAGACTACAAAGAAAACAAAGACATTAAACATAGCAAAGACGTTAAAGATAATAAACAAAAAGAACATGTTAACAAAGAAAATCGTAGTAAGGATCAATCAAACAATCAAAAGGATTTTAAAAGAGAAGCTCAAGTAAATGAGAGAGATTCAAGCAAACAAGTGATTAAAAAAGACAATCAGGATCCTAACAGCAAGGGTAAAGTTACAAATGGAGTTGATGAAAAAAAAGTTTCCGTTGATGATAAAAGAAGAGGTAAGGGATAAATGTTGAAATTTATACTAAAATTTTTAAATACTAGTTTATAAGCCTATAAGATTTTGTTTTATTTTTAATTATTTACCATCTGTTTTTGAAACGGGCTACAGCAGAAAACTTTATATAAATAAGTATTTAAAAGTAATTTTTGTTTAAAAGTGCAAAAGTTTACTTAACATTAATGTGCAGGATATCTTTAAATATTGCTTAAATTATTTAAGTGTAATCAAATTATAAATTAAGGTGTAGTCATTATATTAAAAAAATGTTGTTATTGGGTTTTCTCTATTGCCAATTTTTAATGATAATAAAAGTATTAAGTTTAAAAGAAAATTTGATTTTATAGTAGTAAATATAAAAAAATTTATAAGATCTTGAAAAGAATTTCTTGAATAAGAATACTTTTAAAAAAGATAATCTAAGATTTTTTTACTTTTTCAAGAGTTATAAACTGAAATGCAGGATAGGTTTCCAGGCTTGGACAAGAACGGTGTGCAATTGAGCGCTATTACTGACCACGCTAAAGACTTCATTTTGACAACTTGACCTCGATTGTTTGAATGTTCATATGATAAAAATGTTTCAGAAATGCGTTGAATGTAAAAACGCTAAGCTAAACTTAAACTAGGAAAAAAGTTAAAAAAAAAAAAAAAAAAAAAAAACACTAACAAAAAACAATCCTATCAAAAACAGATCCTTCCGAAAAAGTAATTATATAAGCACTTAAAAATAAAAATTAAAAGCTTAAGCTTTAAACAAATCCTTTTGTTGCCTTTTTAATTACATTTGAAATAAATGTTATCAAAACTTATCTTTTTATAACGGTTTTAAATTAAGTAATAAAGAAATTAAGTAATAAGTCTAGTTAATAAAAAGGTTTTCAAATTTTTTATTTGTAAAAACATAAAAATAAATAAATAAAATGCGCCTGCAGTTTAAATAATAAACTGCCAACAAGCAACTTAATTTAATTTTAATTTGAGCGTTAAAACTTTTTAATGAGTGCTTTAAGTAACGAATTTAAAAATTACTATAAAAGATTTAAACTCATTCATTCCTATCGTAATTGAATAGAAAAATAAGTTTTCTTCAAAAAATAAAATGTTTGTTTAAAAGATTTTAAAAAACATAAGTTTAATTATAAAAATTAATTTTATGAAAATTACAAAATGCTTCAAAACTTTTCCATTAATCAACAAGATATTAGTAAATGAAGTTATTTTATATTCTTGTATAGTTTATGTAAAATGTGTAAAAGCACAAATGGTCTTAAACTTATTTAAAAAATTCTTTCTAAAAATAATGGTTTAAAAGATTTTTAGGAAGATATTGAAAAATGGTTTCAAACATTTAATTTTATCAGAAAAAACACATGCCTACATAAAAAAGTTAATTTATAACATTTTTTTAAATTTACACGTTACATTTATTTATGTGTTTGTGTAAACAATCATTATAATTATTGTTCGTGGTTTTATTTAAAACCTTTGCAAAAAATAAAAGCTTTAGAAAAGATCAATGATTAAAAGTTATTCATAACCTTTTTTTTATTGCATTTAAAGTGTTAAAACATCAAAATAGCCATGGTGAAGTTGTATAGAAAAAAAATATTAGTGTGGTCAGTTACAGAGTACGATTGCGAGCCATTCCTGTCCAACCCTGTGTTTCTAAACACTAACCAAAAAAAAAAGCCTAACCTGTTTATTTAAACTAAATCATTAAAAAAAAACCTTTAGTGTGAGCACATTCATTTATTATTCCCCAAATAACATATATTTTTTGAAACAAAAAACTGTTCATAATTGTGCGCAGTTTATACCAGGAATATAAAATCTTGAATGTTATGGCGCTTTGTAATCCTTTTTTAGAAATAACAATACAATTTTTATCTGTTGTTAATATATAGTTTTTATTTCCTGGTGAAAATTATATAAATACAATGATCTTCAAATTCTTTAGCGATTTAGATTTTTTGTGTAATTTTCAATTTATTTAATCTAGTAAATAAATAATTTAGTAACTTTAGCGGAGAAACAAATACATGGTTTTAATCCTTAACCTTTTGCCTGCATGATAAAACTACAAGATGTTCAATAAAATTCTACTAAAAAAATTATTAGAATAGTTTAATAAAGGAAAAGCAAAAACGATTAAAAACTTTTTTTCATAGTAAAACTTAATTTTCATAGTGAAACATAAATAACATATCAAAAGAATGAATTTTTTTATCTCTTTATTAAGCTCGACACTTTCTTACTCTGGATTCTATTCACTATCTCTATAAATCTCAAATCTGGCTTTGTATGGAATACTGTTGCCATATCTGGGGCAGATCTTCTAATGATACCCTTTTTACAAGGTTCTTTTAGACAAGGTGCAAAAACATTGTAAACATAATTGGACCTGCTCTTGCAGCCAACCTTCAACCATTATCACATCTTCATGTTGCTTCTCTTTCTCTTTTCTACAAATACTATAATAGGCACTGTTCTATAAAGCTAGCATCTTAAGTGCCATCTACTAAATTTTATTTTTTTGTTACTCGTCATTCAATCAAGTCATCTTTTTTCTGTGACTGTTCCTAAGTGCTCCAAAAACTCTTATTTGTCTAGTTTTTTTCCTCAAACATCAAATTTTTGGAATTCGGTTTCTTCATCTTGCTTTCCTGATTCATATAATTTGCAATCTTTTAAGTTGTCTGTCAATCGTTATCTTGCTCTACAATCTTCATCTTTTCTCTTCCAGTAACTTCCAACACTAATTAGTGATTGCTTGCAGCCTTGTTGGAAGCAAAGATGTTTTAATAAAAAAAGTTTATAAGTTACTAAAACTGATACTTTAGTGCTCAAGGTCATAGTTTTAAATATCACTTTAAAAGCAAATTTCATGGCTCGTTACACTCATAGGGTTAAACAATTTTTAAAATGTCTTGAATTTAAAAAGTTCACTGTATAAAAAGTATCTGAATGTCTTGTAAATGTAAATTTGTAAAGGTTCAAGACAAGCTTATAAAAATGTATTTGTTAAATTGCATTATAATAAATTTTACTCTTTAAAATTTCAATATACTGATGTTTTAAATTTTTCTTGTTGCCCATTTTGCGCATGTGCTTAAAATTATAAAAGCTACATAACTTAAAGTAATTGGTCTGAAACCCTTTTCTTTATAAATTGAAAAAAGGTCTTTTAATCGTCGTTTAATTAAATCTGTTTTTTTTTTTAAATTAAATCCATATCTAAAAGTGTAGTTATAAAAGTTGACTATTATTTTCGCTTATGGATAACAATGATTTCTATTGCTGATGTTTTTAGTGTTTAAATTAACACTGTTTTCAGTATTTGACACAGATTTGAATTTATTATTCTAAAATTATTTTATTATGTAAGTGATCCAGAAGTGCCAAGACAAGCTGTGTTCATATAATTAATAATCCTTAAAATGTGTGTTTTATGTTTCTTTCCAAACTTTCAAAAACAGATTATTTATCATGATATTAGCAAAAAAACTTTATAGTTTTCAACTTATATGTATAAAAATACTGGTCTGATTGATACCCTTTTTTAGCCTAAGTATGTTTAATAAATTATTTGAGTACATATAAATATTTAGCACAATATGTTTAGGTTATTCCTTTTGCAATTAATTTTTATTTTCAAGAATTCCTTTATAAAAAATCTTTATTAAACAAACCAAACTTGTATAACCGAACAAAAATAACACAATCAGTAAACATTTTCAAAGTCTAACTCATATTTATTTTTAAAGCAAATTTATTAGTGGTATAAATATAGGATGATAAGCTCTCTTATCAAAGCTCTATTCTGATGGTCTCCTTTAAGTCTGCAAACATTAAAAAGATTATTCATTTAGCTCAAGACAACCTGCCTAAACCCAAACCCTATGTGTATATATATGTATGTATATATATATGTTTGTATGTATATATATATATGTATATGTATGTATATATATATGTGTGTGTATATATATATATATATATATATATATATATATATATATATATATATATATATATATATATATATATATATATATATATATTATATATATATATTATATATATATTATATATACATATGTGTGCGTATGTACATAAATGTATATAAATACACACAAAAGGGTTTATTTGAGCAATGGCGAATTATATTATTTTGATAAATATCTGGTCTGAGAAATTTTAGTTTATGCAAATCCACCCTCTACTTTGTTTTCATTGGACAAATTAGCTTTATTTTTTTTAGCAAAAAAGTCATGATAAAAAACAAAATAAATTTATGGCTACAAATTTGAATATCCATTATATTTTTCTGTATCTATTTCTACTTTATATAAAAGATTACGATAAATTATATAAATCGTTTTTTATTTATAAAGCCTTAGTTAAGTTGTTTGAACAAACAATACATTATAAAAGTTATAAGTGTATTATAAAACTAATAGCGTTATAACAGCATTTGAAACTATTAACTGCTGGCCTTACAGAGGTTAAAGTCATTGAAAACATTCTAGAAATTCTTTAAAAATTTTACTATTAAATTTTACTCAAATAGCTAACTATAGTTACTTATTTTATTAAAAGTTTATTTTATTAATTGTTCATTAGTTTTTTACAAATCTAACGAACAATTAATTAAACCAAGCACTACGAAAAGATATAAAAAATAAGAATATACTAATAAAATATATAATTTATGATTAACTTTCAAAATTTTGACAATTTAAAAAATATATAATAAAACATTTATTTTTTTAAACAAATGATAATAGTTTAAAAGTTTTACGGCTTTACAGAGAATGAGCCATAATATTAAAGTAATAGTCCATTTGATAATATATTCTTAAAAAAAAATTATGCTAGATATCTCAAAACGCAACAAATCTTAAATAATACAGTTCCTAGAACATTTCAACAGAATACTCTAGAACTTTATTTTGCATAGTCAGCGTGTTTTTTGAACCAATAGAATTAGTTTGT